AATTAGGAAACTATGTTCTCTCCTGGTGATGTAGGCTCTTCAGCTAGAAAAAGTTGTGTTTCCCTCTAGGTGGGCTTGCATATTGAGCTCCCTCTCAGCTTCTCTGCATGTACTGTCTGTGCATGACCCAAACCGCATGAATCTGTCCAAACCCCTCAACCCTCCAACAATCCTGTGCTATAGGTCTCATGATGTAGCTCTCATCCGTTTTTTAAAATGAGCAAGGGAACATAGAAAAGTTCAATATTTTGCCAGATTCACACAGCTCTTAAGTCAGAGTCTAGAAGCAGGCAGTCTGTCTGGCTCCATAGTCCATGCCTTTACCCAGAGGTTCATGCTGCCTCCATATATGTCCCAAATGTAGTATTTTTTCTAAAATGAAATATTTTGGTAATAAAGGGATTGATGAACACATGCATGATGCATGTTTTCTATCTTATAATTATCAGAATTGATTTGTTACTGATTATCATTGCTGGTATATGCCAGGGCTTGTGCATTAAGAGTTTGTTTTTCTAAAAAAAAAAGTTTGTTTTTCTAAGTAGATTGTGGATTTTCTGTTACTGAACACAGAGACATGGGACAAATATTGGAACATCTATCTCATATTTTCAAACCATATCTAGCCTTAACTATTTTTTTTATCAAGCCCTTTAATTTTCTAAAGAAAGCAAAGCCCAAATGAATTTTTCCCAATTACAAGGATTGCAACTATAGTCAAATTGTCAGGCATGTTATATTATCAAGTAATACGTTACAATAGTGAAAGAAACAATCTTGCCTGCCAGTTGTGTATTTCCATCCACCTGTATGCCAAGTGCCCAGCAAAGAAAGCTGCTATAAAAAGTAAAAATTGTTAGTGAGAACATCAGCTGGATTTCCATTCTAGACCCCTTCATATAATACCACCTCTTTTTTTAACATTAATGCAATAGATATTGCTATCCTCAGGAAAAAACGTCCTAAAACAAAACTATAAAATGATGAAAAATAGCAGTTAAGGAGTAATGGCAATGATAGATGTGTAATTTATTAAATGACTGGTAATAAGATTAATTTGTTCCTTTCCTGCCCAAGCGATACTTAAAGTAATTGCATCTTCGAAAACTGCACTGTCATCACTTTATGCTTTTGATGATGTCATGGAACAGTACTACAGGATGGGGTATGCTCAGCAGATTTTTTCCTATCTCCCTTGCTATTACAATAATCTATAGACTACTGGTCAACACATTAATTTGCATAATTCTGTGGCATCTGCACAGTAAAAGAGATGTGTCTAAATCACCCAGTCTCTTAAATAAAATACAGGCCAATTTTTTTAAACTTTTTTTTTAATTTTATTTATTTATTCATGAGAGAGGGGCAGGCAGAGACACAGGCAGAGGGAGAAGCAGGCCCTATGCAGGGAGCCTGACGTGGGACTCGCACCCAGGTCTCCAGGATCGTGCCCTGGGATAAAGGCGGCACTAAACCACTGAGCCACCCAGGCTGCCCCAATGCAGGCCAGTTTTAATGAGTTCAAAATAATATGTATTAAAGTTTTCTGCAGAAATTTGGAGGTACCATGAAATTGACCTAATGCTATTTTGTTGCATAACAAGTTGGGGATCACTGCTGTGAACACTAAAAAGAAAAAGCAAGAGCAAAATACACATACACACACACACACACACACTACATCAAAACACTTCAAATGTTTAAAAATATATATATATATATATATATATAATATCTCATATATATCTTCCCATCTTAGAAACCTGAATTTTGAACACCTCTTTTTTAAAAAAGATTTACTTATTTATTTGAGAGGGAGAGCGGGAGAGGGAGGGGGAGAGAGAGAGAGAGGTGGTACAGAAGGAGAGAATTTCAAGCAGGCTCCATGCCCAGCACAGAGCCCAGCGCAGAGCTTGATCCCATGACCCTGAAATCACAAACCTGAGCTGAAACCAAGAGTCGGATGCTTAACCAATTGAACCTCCCAGACACCCCTGAACACTTCTTTTTCATAGGGACCCTAGTCCCCATAAGTAAAATCCTCTTACCTTTGTCCTAAAGATGTCATTCTCTCCCAGTCAAGTAACAGAATTAAATGGTTGTACTCCCCACAAATATTCTCTACATATCTGTGTTAAAGCAACAAATCAGTGCAAATCTAAGATCCTAAAAGTAGTTCTCAACTTTGACTCATAAATTCATTAAATACTCTTTCATTAAATATTCTTTAATTCATTAAATTACTCTCATGGTTATATAATTCATTACATATTTGTGCATCAAAATAAGCATGACCACTAACCTATAAAAATACTTTCCTGTTAACTAATTAGATGCCATTAACTCTTATGGGGCACATTATGATGATGAAGTTTGAAATGTTATTTCTTGGGACCCCCCGGGTGGCTCAGCGGTTGAATGTCTCCCTTTGGCTCAGGGCGTGATCCCGTGGTCCTGGGATCCAGTCCCACATCCGGCTCCCTGCATGAAACCTGCTTCTCCTCCCTCTTCCTATGTCTCTCCCTCTCTCTGTGCCTCTCACGAATAAATAAATAAAATCTTTTAAAAAATGTTATTTCTTGTTAAAATATTTTTATTTCATTTATAAATAATGCTCTCAAGTCTTAAAACAGTGATGTATTTCAAAGTATTGGAAAGTATCTTGTTAAATATTTTGAAGTACTAAAAGGAAGAAAATTTCTATAAAGGATTATTTTGTGAGTTCCTGTCTTTTTCTCTGGGAAAAGTAATTATTTTGGTACACTACATAGAAATTGCAAATAGTTGTACTGATATTTAACAAACAGCAAATGCATTCTATATAAGTATGTTCCTAATAGTGCCCCCAAAGAGCTTGTTTCACTTGATAGACACTTAAGTAGAATTTCGGTCAATGGTCCCCAGTGGCAGGAAAAAGCTGATGCACCACTCAAAACTTAACACTGGTAAGGCAGACATGAGATCTACTATTTCCAGCATGTCATGTTTGGACTGTCTGTACTCATGCTATTATGGCTAAAATATATTTTTAAAAAATTATATTTAAAGGATAAAGCCACAAACTTATAATGGTTAAATTTTAATGTGAATTTTTATGGCCAAAGGCAATTAAATTATTCATAAGAAAGCCATAACTAATTATTTTGATATCAAGTAAACATCATCATTTATGCTAAATCAAATAGATCATGTTCAGTTAATTAGAAATTTTCCAGATGTCACCTACAAGATGCCTATAAATACTTAATAGAAAAACACAACAAAAGGTTTGCAGCAATTTACGCAATAGAACAGAAAATAAACTTCTCATCAATTTTTTAAGTTGTGTTTTTAGTTTACATATCATCCTTCTCCTTTGCAAGTTTTATGGCATATAAACAAGAATATACCAAAAGGATACTATTTAAGTATCAATGAAGTGTTTCTGTGGGTTTAAAACACACCATATGCTAAAAGCCTGGTCTCTGCTGCTCATTCATTTGTAAGAGTAATTCTCGTAAACACAAAGGCAGTCAAATATGCAATTTAAATATTCAGATAGGTCTATAGAGTGAACTTTTTCTTCAAAGCTAAATTAGGGGGGAAGGGATCTAGTGCATAGTTCCTGTAACATCCTTACTTGGTACTCAAAAGTTTTCATTTTATCAATACAAAGAGCCTGGTTTTCTCCCCATGCCCCCCAAATGTAAGCAGCACGCATGTCCTAATGACAGTTCACAGGGTATTTAATTCCAGTGTCTCCAGAGGGCCAAAAAGTTAGCAGAGAGTGATTGATAACTAGACATTCAAGAATTGTATTCTTAAGATGCAGAACATCGCATACTGCTGAGGGGAAGATCAACAACAATTAAGCTTAACATGCCAGTTTCCAAAGGTCTGGCTTCACTGCCCATTAAGCTGATACCATTTGTCATTTATCCTCACCTCTAGTGGCACCTGTTCTACAGACGGACAGAATGGGAGAAGGAATTTGCGCTTTTTACATTTAGAAAAAAATCCACACTTAAAACTCACGCCCACACACATTCAACAGATACTTATCGCACCACTTTAATTACCGTTGCAAGAAATTTCAGTGGGGATAGTTATGCTCCGTTTTCACGCGAGGCACTATTCACTCATCCTAAGCTTTTGAGAATCTTCCCGTTTTGTTTTGCTTTGTTTTTTAAGAGACTTTCCCAAAAACTAAGAGAGGGCGAATGTGATAGGAATTGCTCAACCAGAGAGCAGTGAAAGTCGAAGAAAAAGAAAAAAAAAAATCAGAGCGAATGCTGGGCAGCTTGCCAATTTGATCCGTTTCCCTGGCACTGACTCCAGCCCCCTAACTGAGCGCCTACTGCGTGCAGGAACCTGTGGTCATTGCCAGGTGCCCCTCGGCCTACCTGTACCTGACCTGTCTCCGGAGAAGTCCCTACCTTGGAATCAGGTGTGCGTGGGCAAAGGAACGGAGGCCACACACAGTGCTCAGCAAGCCCCCCCCCCCCCGTTCTTTGTCAGCCCTCCGCGAGAACAAAGGCTTTGTGCCCCCGAGTCTGTGAGCGGCCCGCGGGAGCAGCTCTGGCCTCAGGCACCATCCGAGCGGACCCAGTGCGGGGCTGAAGTCAAGCCGGGCCCACAGGGGGTGGCATTTCTGCAGGGTTCTCCTGGCTTTAGGTTTCCCCAGCCTGCGGCAGGGAGGGAGCCCCACCCGCTGCGCAGGTGCCAAGCCCTGCCCCGTGGCCGACTCCCTTACGGAGAAAAGTGGAAATTACTCCCGGAAGACGCTGCGCTGGTGAGGACGCAGCAGAGCGCGCTCCACAGCTGCAACCAGGCACTTCCAAAAAATTCAAACTTTTCTCCGTGCGCGTCTTTGGGGAGCGGGGAAGAAGGCGGAACACGGTGTCTCCCCACCGCCTGCACCCCGCCCCCGCCCCCGCCCCCGCGGCTCCTCCCGGCCCCCTGCCCGGCCCGTGTCCCACCCCCGGGATCCCGGAACCCAGGGCGGGCGGCCCCCGACTCACCGCTGACCACGCGGCGGCAGAAAACCCCGTGGCCGCAGAGCAGCGCGGCGCCCAGCAGCAGCCAGAGCCCCCGGCTCATCGCGGCGCGGCGCAGGGGTCGCGGGGAGCCTCGGAGCCCTCTGCCCGCCGCGCCGCCGAGCTCGAGCCCCCGAGCCCCCGAGCCCCCGCCCCCGCCGGTCCCTACTCCCGCCGCCCGAGCCCCGCCGGCCGGCCCCCTGCGCTCATCGCCGTCCGCCCGGCCTCCCGCGCGGGTGTGGGGCGCGTCGGAGGGGAAACCAAGTCAGAGGGTCCCGCGGCCGCCCCGGCGGTGCAGCAGGAGCCCCGCTCGGGCCCCACCCGACCCCGTTGCTCCCCGCGGGCCTCGGGCCGGGGCGCCCAGTCCCGGCTCTCGGGCGGCGGCGGCTGGAGCAGCAGGAGCAGGAGCAGCAGCAGCAGCAGCTCAGCGCTGGAGGCGCGCCCTTATATACCCACAACCCGAGGCTCCGGCCCCTCGCTAGCAAGATTTTTTTTAACTACTTCGTCTCTCCAGTTATGCGGAGCATCCCGGCCCCTCCCCTAAAAACTGGAGCCTCTTTGAAAAGAGTGCGCTCAGCAGCCCCACCTCCTCTCTTCTGCCTCTCCAGGTCCCTTCTTTCCATTCGCTAACAGACCCGATACTCATTTGTGCGAAATGTGACAGCTTTGCTATTAAACTCTGGCAAAAGTTGGATCCATTTCGTTTTCTCAAAGATTGATGTCCACGGGGATGCCAAGTTGCAGGGCCTTTCTCTCTTTTGTGCTAAATTGCTTGATCCTATGCATTGCTAGATGCAGGGCACTAGCCACTATTTAAGATGGATCGGCGAAGTGGGAGCCAAAACCTGCTCGCTGAATTATATGATGTGGCAGGTTTTTCCCCCACCTAGGTTCTGCAAATAGATTACTTCCAAGCAGGTTGTTTGACTAAATGCCACAGGGGCAAACCGAAGAAAGTATCTGAAGCACGGTTTTCCCAACTGATGGTAGTCTCAGAAAGCAGCTCCAGAGAAAACCATCAACACAAATATTCTGCATACTTGGGAATTTCCTGGATGTATATGTATGAACTTCCTTACGATCATCTATCCGTGATCTGTAGCTTCCATTAGAAGTAAAGCATTCTAAAACCTACAAAGACGCTTTCCCATAATCTGACTTGGTCTTTATATCAGAGACCCTCTGAAGATGCTACAGTTTAACCTGGAGTATGGAAAACAAGTTCATAAGATTTTCATCTATACCTAACTTTGTGATAGGAACCCTGAGGATGCATTTATAGTGAGCTTCAATCGAATTGGTATTTTCCCATTATGATGCTTTAAATGCACCAGAATTTGTTAAATAGCATCTTTTGTTTTTAGCGGGTGGTACATTTTCCTATAACACCTCCCTGTCTTTGGCTTTCACAAACCACAAGTATACTCTGAACATTTATTGGACTGCTTTCTTGGAAAAAAAGGTAAATCCTGCTACAGTAAGAACAAGTCTTGCAGAATAAGATTTCTAGCATTTAAAAAGGCCTTAAGGATTATTAAGCCCACCCTAACCAAGAAAGTAGAATTCCACAATTATAATAGTGTCTATCACTTTATTTTTCCTTGTATTATCATTAAATTACTAATCTATAACAGGTCCATGGGCAATTAATAAATCTTATGACGGTTATGGATCTTGTGAGTTTCGCTACTGGCTAGATGTCATAAAGAAACAGGCAATGCTGGGCTTTTGAATGGAAATGGAAAATATAAATCCTCAAAGCAATAAAGGTCTATATCTAGCTCAGCCTTGTAGATCATGTCAAAGTGTCCCTGGGTGTGGCTGTGGTCAGAGAGTTGCTGGAGGGGTTCACAGTCCAGTGTGGAGAAAGAAATGTAATAAGGACTGTGCGTGTAAATGCTGTACTGGAAGTCTGAATGGAGTGTCATGGTTAGCATAGAGGAATGAAGAATTATGTGTTTTGGTAGGAATTCTCTAGCCTTTGTCCAGGCTGATAAGCCTCAATGGCTGACTACCTGAGTGCTCCAAATGCTTGCAGAATTAGGATTCTTCATGGGAGTTCCTTTCTCTTTCCATGCCATCCTACTCCCAGATGTGTGGGCCCAGAACTATCATGAACAGTTCCCTATTTGGGGAAGAATACCAATGGATTACAATATAAGCACTGGATGTAATTTCCTACTTATCACTACATCCCAATATCCTAAATGGCTCAGATGCCTAAAAAGTCAGCCAGTCCTTGAAGCTACTATTGGCAAGGGGGAGCTCCATGCTGTTAGTACTCCAGAAAATCCAAATTACAGTAATAAGCATATCCTCATACGGTTGTAGAGACTTCTAAAATATGGTTTCCTCTCCTTGGGCTCAGATTATATTAGTTCGGGTGGCTGCATCCATTAACTAGGGCTATTTAGCCATTATTCTAGCAGCTACCTTACTTGCTAAGACAGCAAATTATTAAAGGCTCTTTTTAGATGTGATGTTTTTAAAAGGGACTGGCTAACATGACCAGCTTTTTTCTTTGTTTCTCCATCACCAGAAAACATCTGGATGGATCATCATTAAATTTAGAGAGCACATTTTGGGTAGTCATAAATACAGAATTTTTGTGGTATTTGATACTCTCTGGAGAGCATGGTGGGGGTGGGAGGAGGGAAATCTCCCTTAATTTTTTTTTCATGCAGCAAAGTGGGAGATATCAATTAGAAGTTTTCAAAAAAGTTCCATTTTAAAAAATACTAAATTACTGGAATTTAGGGGAAAGCAACAAATATTCATTTTTTAATGAAATGACTTTGTTTTTCCCTGTGATGTGCATAAGGTATCATAAAAGACAAATGACTTTCTTATAGCAAACATACAAACCTCTAGAAATGCAAGAACTACTTTCAGATCAATTAGGAGGTAAGAGTTCTGGAATTCCTGGGTGGCTCAGAGGTTGAGCGTCTGCCTTCAGCTTAGGGTGTGATTGTGGTCAGGTCCGGGGATGGAGTCCCACATCTGGCTCCCTGGGAGAAGCCTGCTTCTCCCTGTGTCTATGTCTCTGCCTTTTTCTGTGTCTCTCATGAATAAATAAATAAAATCTTTTTTAAAAAGGGGGGGGGGGGAGATAAGAGTTCTTGGGCAATCAACAAAACATAGGGTTAGGTGAGGAATGGCACAGGTATAGAGTTTGGCCTGCAGATTGCAGGAGACCAAGGTGTGATAAGACCACATGACTGGCAAACAGGGGAGAGGGCTGTTACAAGTTAAGATTCTCTGCCCAGTAAAAATCAAAATGAAACAACAACAACAACAAAATCCCAAGAACTTCAAACCGATTAAGCTAAAAAAGTTCAACACTGACTCAACAACCTAAAACGTAACTCTTCTCTACCCAAAATAGAGAGGTAATCTCAGTAAGAGTGGTCCCAAAGAAATTTCAGGCATGATTCAACCACTGAGTCCCCAGAGGCTCTGAAACATCAATTAAACAACAATATTTGGAATCCAAAGTTTTGAAAAGTGACATCAGGACCCTTAATAGTATGCTATGGAATCTGTCTGTCCCAAATATACAACTTACTCCTTGACCGTCTCTATTCTCTTTCAAATGTCTGCAATCCCCCATAAGCATCTGTTTCTTATGTCCATTAATAAGCCTCAAGGACAGACAGTCTGAATTCCAGGCGTCCATGTGCATTCAGTGGCTCCTCACTGGGGCAGCTCTATACAATTGCTTTAGCCTCAGTCACAGCGGGGTTCATTCATATGAGTTCCAGAGCAAAAGGTGACAAAAATGGCTGTCTTGGTTCAGGCTCCTATAATAAGATATCATAGACCAGGTGACTTACAAACAACAACACTTTATTCCTTACAGTTCTTGAGGCTGAAAATCAGAGATCAGGGTATTGCACAGTAGAGGTCCAGTGAAGGCCTTCTTCTGGGTTACAGACTGCCAAGTCCTGGTTAGATACTTATATGATGAAAAGAGAAATAAAGAGCCCTCTGGGGGCACAGGTCCTACTCCTGAGTGCTCCACTCTCATGACCTAATTGCCTCCCAAAGGCCCCATCTCCCAACACCATCACATAGAGGATTTCAGCATATGAATGAGGGGAGTGGGAAATACAAATATTCAGTCCATTGCAATGGTCTACAGGGAATTCGTTACAATGTTAAAAATGATTATAACTAAGATATGTGAAATACTATTGGAATCCAATGTTAACTAATTTATTCATTCTATTACATTTTATTTAATGATGGTTAATAAGTCTCCTGAGCACTATCAACAATATTGCCATGATGTAATAAAACACTTGAAAGTGAAAAAAAAAAACTATTACAACTATTTTAGCAATAGGCAAAAACAGTTTATTTTTTCTAAACAACAATTAGTTGTCATTTCCAGGAAGAGAGCATTGAATCTAAGGTTTATCCTCTCTATTCTTCAGAAGTGACACCTTGATATCCGTGCAGGCATGTAACTGGCTCAAACGCAAGAATGAGCAGTTGGACAAAGTCCCCTGTGATTTATTCGTTCTTTTCAAAATATGCCTGTGCTGTAGAATGCATGACCTATGTCATTTACAAGCCAGTTCTACTTTTCTTATAATGCTAGTAGAATTGTTAGCTTTGACAGGGCTATCTAAGAAAGTGTCAACATTCATAATGCTGTTAGAAATTTAATAAAGAATTGTAAATGCTTACAAAAACATGCTTTTCAATTATTTGAAGTTTAAATTTAGGAACTACTGAGTCTGTCACATGTTCTGACCATTCAGGTGAGGAATTAAAAATATTTGTAAAATTCAATTACTAAAAGTATATCTTCTTGGATCTTAAAAATCATATGAAATTATGTGAATGTCTAACTAAATATCAACTCTGTAAATTAAAATTTCCTTTTAATGCTTCTCTATTAATTTAAAGCAATGCAACTGGGTATCACTGTTATCAACCTACCATGAACCAATACTTCTTAATCTTGGCTTAATTACTGAATCCTGTCCTAATAATATATATTAACACAACTAAAAAAAACAGTGAGATAATTAAACCAAAAATAAAGATAAACTAAGGTCATCCTTACTCCAAGGGTCTA